GGGGGGGGGTATGTGGGGGGCACAGGGGGGACATGGGGACCCCCCCACTCCCTGCCGGAGAAGAGGGGGTGACCCCCAGACCGTGAGGGGGGGGCTCTAAGACCTACGGGCTATTTACACACCCGGGGGCTCCCCGGGCTCGGGTTGTGCTCACAAGGGTCTCCCCCTCGCCCACCCCCTCCCCGGGACTGGGGGGGGGTGGGGAAGCCCCGGGGGGGGGTGGGGGGGTGTTTTGGGGGTTCCCCCCCCGGCTCAGGAGTCCTTGAGCATGTTGATGCGGGCGTAGATCTTGAGGGCAGGGCCCAGCTTGATGTTCATGGTGCTCATCAGATGGTCCTCCTTGAGCAGCAGCAGCGCCTGCCCGTCGATCTCCTGCGCCCGGAACTCCTCGGCGATCTCCTGGCAGCCTGCAGAGCCCGGGAATGCCGGCAGGGAATGTCAGCTGGGAGCTGATCACCCCCCGGCAGGGATGGAGGGGGGAGCAGGCAGGGGTTCTCCCAAAAAAATGGATGGGTGGGGCTGGCAGGGTGTGATTCCCCCCTCAGGAATTTCTTTATGGGGTTATCTCTGAGTGAATCCCCCCCTCAAAATGTATGTATGGGGCTAGCAGTGTGTAAATCCCCCCAAAAAATATATTTATGGGGTTACCAGGCAGTAAATCCCCCCAGAGATACAGGTATGGGGTTATCAGGGAGTAAATCCCCCCCAAAATGTTTGTATGGGGCTAGCAGTGTGTAAATGCCCCCCAAAATATATTTATGGGGTTACCAGGCAGTAAATCCCCCCCAAAAATATATTTATGGGGTTACTAGGCAGTAATTCCCCCCAAAATACAGGTATGGGGTTATCAGGGAGTGATTCCCCCTCAGGAACATGTTTAGAAGGTTATCTCTTGAGTAAATCCCCCCCCAAATGTTTGTATGGGGCTAGCAGTGTGTAAATCCCCCCAAAAAATATATTTATGGGTTTACCAGGCAGTAAATCCCCCCAAAAATACAGGTATGGGGTTATCAGGCAGTAAATCCCCCCAAAAATACAGGTATGGGGTTATCAAGGAGTAAATCCCCCCAAAAATATGGATGGGGTTATCTGTGTGTAAATCCCCCCCCAAACATATTTAGGGGGTTATCCATGTGTAAATCCCCCCCAAA